TTATTCCCTAGAGGCACCATTTCTTCAGTTGAAGGCTTTTTCATGCATAGCGTTGCATTTTAAGCGCAGACTTAGAAACATTAGGGTCTTTAAAATACGCATCGATGCATATTAGGTAAAGGAACACACCACATAATACTTGCATACTGATGTTGCGCCTCAGATATGCGTAATGTTTCTTTTTGATTGACGATATTGACAAGTATGAACGCCGCCACCAGTTCAATATGGCGGGGCATTCAGCAAACTTTCGCCGGGTGGTTGAATCATGGCACTCGCCTATACACATAGCATACCTGCTTCGGACTACAGAAATTGCAAATTTAATCTGAATGGTTTACTCCTCCAGCATATGATAACCGAGCCATGCTAAAGGTGAACTCGAAGTGAATGTCTATTGATTTTCCTTTTTAATAATAGCAACAAAGCATGCCCCTTTCATGTTGTCAAATTACACCCACAAGTTACACTTTTGTGTTACGTCTTCAATAGAGCCTTCCACATAGCTTTCATATTCTAATGAATTACGGCGTGCAAAAAAAAAAAAATCGGCAGATCCCACGCACCTGGGAATTGACGTTATGCGAAGCATGCGGAGGGCAGGTGACCGTGTTGCATTTTTTTATTGAGCGACATGTCATGAAATGACGCTAAATATATGTACAAATTTTCCACGCACAGACATGTCTTTAGGAGTTGCGATGTTTATATAACCTGTTGTTTGCACTTGCGCAACGATGCGAACTGGAACATGCGTATTAGCAACACCTGAAGCTGATATAAAATGCTGGTGCTCGCGAGGATGCTAGCTCTGGACACTGCTACATGAATCGATTTCAGCGCATGGAAACTCACCACAATTGACGTTAACCTGACGTGACGGCTGTATCAAAGGAGTATAAAATGTTTTTAAATTGAGTAGGCAGCACTGCAACCATTATTGACGTTTCACGAAGATTAGTGTCTATTTGAAAAGTAGTTCTGAGACCTGGCATAGCTCTTTCGTAAAATGCTTCATTGTCACGCAGAACGGTTTGGTTCAATTCCAGATGGGATCCTGACATTTATTCTTTGCATTTGTCGGGTTGACGCTACTGATGTCGGGTGTTTCTTAAAGCTCGCGCGTTAAAATTGCCCATGTGTGTTCTCGTCATCCCTGGGTAAATACTAAGTGTCAATCACTTGTCGCACATACCCGCATACCAGTGGCATACACCCACCCCTGGGTATGTGCCACTGTTTGGCGGGTGGTGATTGGCGATGTACGTGACGGGATGGCGATAATATTCGTGTCTTGACCAGCGCGTCATATTCGTCAAACCATCTTGCCCTCCTACGCTAATTTTGGTTCACGCCAAGAGGGTGACCACGAGAGCACCCAAACGTAAGCGAATAAATAGATAGATAGATAGATAGATAGATAGATAGATATATAGATAGATAGATAGATAGACAGATAGATAGATAGATAGATAGATAGATAGATAGATAGATAGATAGATAGATAGATAGATAGATAGATATGCTCAAAGTCACCGAAGTTATCTAAGAAATGCTTCGTATTTAAAAAGTCAAGTTTGATTTCATCGTTTGTGATCTCGTTTTCTGTGTCTTTATAATCGATTTTAAAAAGACTGGCGTTTAAAAAGACTGGCACAGCCATTGGGTTAATTTCACTACGCCCGGTTTCCAGTAAAAAGCAACAACGCAACGAGTAGCCCGAAAAACGGCTTTTGCGTTACTGAAGTCTCGCCGATGTTTACGTGATACGTTTTGGCTATAAAACGAGGTGGCTGTACTGCAGCCTCAAAGCTTAAGGAAGAGCAGTGATACCACGTATCAGATCATCTTAAGCGAATGCTTCTCTGTAAACCTGTCGATAAGAGTGCTTAGTCAAGATTCAATAAAGCTTTATTACCACATCAAAGTGTAACAAGAAATCTAGAATAAAGTTCCGTGATACAACATATCTAAAATCCATTAACAAAAATGTGTTTGCGTTACGGATGAACTGCCACCAGCTGCACTGTTACAAAATTGGCTGCGAAGTGGAGTTGGTTGAAGTTTTCTTTTTCTTTTCAGCAACGTAAATAAAAATACATGATATCAACTCGAATGAGGTGTCTCTGGTTTAATGAGAATTTGCTGCAGAGAAATGAATGTGGGAATAGTGAATGGTTCATAAATAAAGTCGTAAAATGCAAGTCATATCATATTTAGTTGTGATTATTACTATAAAGATGACTCTAAGTTAATGGAGATTTGCCTTCGTGTTGCTGCTTTCTTGCACACAAACGAGCTATAAGGAGTGACATAATACTGAGTAACACTTCGTGGTTTTCATATGCGTAGTATTTTTTTTCAGTGTGAAACCACCGGAATGATCGCTGGCTTCAGTGATCCTTACAGAGAAGTGCTGGCAATTTTCACCAAATACCATATATGAAGTGTAGAAAGCATGTTGATAGAAAAAAAGTAAAACAAACGTTGAGAAAAAATGATTTGCGAATAATTCTTTTCTGCACAAACATCTATGCTCTTCTTGGCGAGAGGAGGATGACAGGGCATTCAATCGGCTGCACAACAAGTGCACGAAATGCCCACCTGAAATATCTGTGATGTGGTGTCGAGTCCAGCTTGACAAAAATGCTATGATAAAACGAATAAACAAATTGATGTAGTCACGACCGTCAAGCTATTCCCTTTTTTCTGCTCATATAGTGTTAGCCAAGACGTCAAGGAGGATGAGGATGACAAAAAGCGCTTATTTAGTAAGAGAATTGATCATGGTCAAAACTTTAATTTGGTCCAGAGCAGACGCAGGGGAGAGCCCGTGTCCCTCGGCTAGTCCCACGCCGGGACCATCAAGGCGAGCTTGGCAGCCCGTTCACGGGAACTCTGGACGGATACGTTTCTTTGTTAGGTTTAAACAGACACATAAAGCTTTTTTTTTGTTTCTTAAATAGACTTATGCATCAAATCGAGCACCATAATTTTATATTTATTCTGTAATCTTTGTATCACATATATTTCATCATTCTAAATTTTCATAGTGTTTTATAAAGCAACTAAATTGTTCGCCAATACCCCCACTGGGTGTGTGCCACAGTTAATAGGCGAAGAACAACAACATCCTGACAATATACCTATGTTTGGTGATTTGGCTCTGGGCTTCAGAAACAGGGCGTTTCTCAGGCCGTTTCCTGTTTCCTTCACAAAATAAAACCTTTAGCTTTAAAATTTTCACTTGTATAAGTATTATTACAAGATGTATTCACCTAGTTCAAAACGTAAATAAAAGTTTTGACTGCCTCTGCTGTTTTTCTATTCCTTTTAAGAATACTGTCTCGTCTGAATAGTAAAAATAATTTTCACATTTCTTTTCTTTTAAATACGTTTATTCATTCTTTCTTTTAGTCCATATTTATACTTGAAATGTTTAAGAAAGCAACTTTGGGTGATCTAGCAGGCCAAGGAAGCTGCCGGGAGACACAGTCTTTCCGTTAGCTCATAGACGGGAACCCAAATAATGAAGTGTACCTCTCTCTCATATAATCAATTCTTGGCCAGTCACACTTAGTGAGTATGAGCTACTCTATAGATGCATAATCATCAATGACATCCTGAGTGCATATCAGTGACGGTCTGGCATCCGCTCAAACTTACTTCGTCAGACCACCTTCAAATAAACATATCTCATTTTATTAGCAGTAGGGATCGTTAACTGATGCTTCTTTGCGGTTGGCTACCGAGAGTTGCTTCAGTTGTGCGCCGCGGAGCACCATGATTTTTTAACGGATGGCTTTAATGCGCCGCGAATTTTCCTGGCCTTTCGGACAACGGTTTTGCGAAGAGGAAATGTTCGCAGGCACTGTCAGTAAAATCAGGTGGTTGTGCATGATAGTCAAGAGCAATCGTCAGCTTCAGCTGAAGGCATGCTCATCGAGCCACTGTCGAGGACTTTATTGGGGCCACTTTTAGCCGAACGAGAAGCATGTTCGCCCTTTCCTTTCATTACGCTCAGCATGTTTATCAAAGCACACGAAATGAAACGTTTCTTTAGTTCGTTTACTGCAATCATAAGTCCTGCCCGCTATGCACTTGCACTTGCCTAATGTGACATTAGTTTCTTGCAGTAGCATTTGATTCCAATGTAGTGCACCAAATTTTGAAATTGTGTAATTACCATCTGGCATAACAGAAAACAAATGTTTTGTTTTCGCAAACCAAAAGTGCTTACTGACAGCTTAACAATTTAGTGCCAATTGACTTTTCTAGGAAAAACATGCCACCGCTTTGCTAGTGCCATTTCCGAAGATTCTTAAAAAACCGCACCAATTGTATCAGCATTGCCGTTAAAGCAAAAAAAAAAAGCAGAAACTTAGTGCCTTTGTTGTAGTAGACCCAATACTCCCTGTCAACATTTAAGGGCTGATTTGTTTTTAAGTGAATTTAAATTTAAAAACTACATTTTGGGAAGGCGACTTGAGTAATCTTTGAATATGTTTCGCAGTACGCTTTCGACAAGCTTTGCTGTATCTACCATAATGACTGCTTCGAATGTTGTGTTTCTGTTTATTATACTCAGAGTCTAGAATACGTATGGTTATGTACTTTGCTATCCAATATCATTTGTACCTTAAAAAAGTGAGAGCTTTTCATGATTTTGTTTGTAGTTCATATTAGTATTGTGCATAAAAAAGAACACTAGCCCCTAACGTTTTCACTTCTTTCCATGTGTGAAATGTAATGCTAGTTGAATTTCATGCAATCGGTGTTTAATCTCGGGCTCTGTCATCGTCAATAAATCTGCATACAACCTAGCCAGACTTACACAGTGTGTTGAGCCTTATGCAGTTCAAATTATCGAGAGCACTTAGTACATATAGCCTTGTTATAAAGTGCAGCTTCCCATCCGCATTATTTAAATGAGCAAATTAGTATTCGCATAGGCTTCGCGATTATGTAGCTTTTTGCTTACGTTTTTCTTTACGTTGCAGACGAAGAGCCTGAAGAACCAAGGCTTACAGTGCTCACGAAACAGCATAAAAATGCTATTAGGTCGCTCAGAAAGGTAAGTGGAGATGTTTCGAGCTCCTTCAGCACTAGTTTGCTCTGCGAAGCTATGTTATATTGTAGCACGGTCAAACACAATAACTTCAGGTTTTTTTAACTTTGACGAGACCAATGGAAGCATGTGCTGACAGAATTTCGCAGATGAGGTAATATACGAACGCACGATTAGAGCATCTCAATGACTACATAAAAAATCTGGTGTAACCACGTGTCCGCCACCGTTTAAGCAGAAATCAGGTTGTACGGCGATCCTTGTTCACTAACGCAGTCTCAATTTGCATTATAAAGCAACCGGAAAATCAAAACAATTGCGCAACATATATTAGCTGAGCATTCCGTGAAATTTTCAAGCAGAAAATAGGCAAATATTTTTTATGCAAGTGAATTGCGTGAATACTGATACTGTTTACACTCTCTCACGAGTAACATTTCCACTAGCAATAATAAATAGCCACAGAAGACCACTCATTGCAGTCGACTGTTTTCAACACCATTTCCTGGTTGTTGAAGTTGAGCAGTTGTGGCCAGTGGTCCTGGTGTTGTGGAAGCCACTGTTTAATGTGCTGGTTGTTATATGTGCAGTGCAGAACAAGCGCCTTCACGGAAGTCAGCTGAATCTTGCATTCTTTAAGTATACATTTGATTTGACGTCATTTTGCTGTATTGGAAGAAAAAACTAATTGGCATATTTTCATTTTGTGTTTGAAAATGTCTTTGAATCAGAACACAAGTTAGGTAGTGTAAAAAATAACCAATATTAATTTGCGCCTATTCATTTAGAAGAATGCATAAATATCATTAAAACAATAACAGTTCGGCGATTTCCAGTCTTTATGGAGCTGGTTTAAACACTGATACAAAAATTGTCTACGCAAATAATTGATAGAGAAAGAATCACACTGTAACAAAAGGTACTGAACTTTGTTATTGCTTGGCATAAACAATAATATTAAAAAATTCTTATTCGACGCAACAAATAATAACTCACGTATTGTTCAGTATGGCGAAGTCGTTACACTCAGAATTAGTAGCTACTGTCGAGATGTGAACAATTACAGCAAATTCCTGAGTAATGAAATGTGAATTCTATTACGTCTGCCTTCGATGTTTCCTTTTTCAGATTAAATATTTTGTAGCGCGGAGGAAATTTAAGGAGGCCCTGAAGCCTTATGATGTGAAAGACGTCATCGAACAATACTCAGCCGGTCATGTAGATCTCCTTGGACGAACCAAGAATATCCAATTCAGGTAATTTGTACGCTCTCACTGTTTTTCGTGTACAGCCTTTGTATGCTCATAAGCGAACACTAGCTGGTGATGCAAGTGGCAGCTCGTGCTAAAAATCGCGTAGTGTCCTTGCGAAATTCTGCTAGCACTTGGCATACTTTGCTCTAGAGAATTATGTTTGTAGATATCTGGCTGACACTCTCTTTCAGTATGAGCACTTTCACACGTGAAACAGGTGTGGAGCAGAGACAGAGAGATACAAATAAAGAAAAAATCTGAAGGTCAGCCGACATTGAAACACTCTGCTCGCTAACATTCACCAAAGAAAAATAAAAACAAACAAACAAAAGAAAGAAAGAAAAAAGCGACAAAAAACAAAGCGAGAAAGAAAGAAAAAAGGAAGAAAGAGAAAAAGAGAAAAAGGTATAAAGACAGACAGACATACAGACAAACAGACTATCTACAAGGTGCGCAAAGGACAAAAATAATTGGAGAGCAGCAGTAATACAGACCATCTCACAGACTAGCGCTACTCGTAAAATTCTAAAATTCAGCTTGCCTTAGCAGACTTCGATTGCGACAACACTTGTAGATTGGAATCGTAGTACTGTCTGTTCAGACAGGATCTGTCTGCGAGGCGGGCCAACACGACCGCTAGCGGCAACTTGTGCCTGCTGTAATCAGGATAGCGGCAAGTGATATGAGGCGTTTTTTTTCTAAAGAAGAGTCAAATGCAGGAACCGAAACTACACCAAATTTCACGAGAACGTAAAGCACGCCTAAGTATCTTTAACATCTAGTACAGTTGTAATCAAAATTGAGCAATTACGCAATGTAAAATGAACTAAAAATTTCAGTCTATAATAAAACATAATCTAAATTCTTCAACTATTTCAATCAAACAGCACCACACTCAGTATTCAGCACTGTACCGACAATAGTGACGTGAACTACCAACATGGTTTCCGCCAAAATGTTTCATTTGTGTCCTGGTCGCTTTGTTATCGTGTTTATGTTCCACAATTTTATTTTATAGGGCGAATAGGCACTTACTGAAGGACATCATTTTCCATGACAAAAGTTGATTATAAAGAACAGGAGGCTGAATTTCCTATTTTCTTTTCCCCAAGTTAAGCGCTTCAGTACCATGCCCTCTGTTCGCTCCAACACGTATTTTAAGAAGTATAAAATGAGGATATTGGGCATTTATATACTCCCTAAACAAGAAGTGGTGCGAAACGTCATGGCGCAAAACGAACTGAATCAGTTTTAAAGCCATTCAATAGATGCCACGAAAAATAACGCACAAGTGGGAGACCAAAATAATGGGCATTTTCTCAGCGAAGACCACTCGGTCCTCAAGTTTAGTAATCGCCATTAAACACATGCGACAAGTACGACACCGCCGGAAGCACAAGGATGACGTCCATTTTGTCGCAAAGTATTGCTTTGCTGTGCATTGGAATCGTTTTACATTTATTTTACGGGCTGATTCATTCTCAAAAGAAATGTTGCCATCTATATGAGCCAAATAAAAACTTTACTCCTCGATACTGACTATATATTGGGCTATGTAAATTTTAGTCCCTGACAGATTTCGGGTATTTAGGGGAGATCGAGATACTACCAAAAGGTTGTTTCAGCAGGCCCGACCATATTGTCAGCAACGAAAAGTGCGTTTTTTTCAGCTTTAGTGAAAGTGCATTTGGCTGTTTTAGAAAAAAAAACGCCGAATATATTCCACCGTTTCTTCGCTGTCGCATTGATTACAAGCACCGTTGTCATTCATGTCAGTTTTGTAGGACAAAATACACGTAGAAAGATGCTGTTCGACAAACTGGAAACAGAAGAAAGCAAGTTCTTCTAAAATATCCAGCTTGACCAAATTTACGCGGAGTGCGCAAAATACAGATTCAAATAAGCCTATCTAAAAACCGATTACTTGTGCGCGAACGTGGCAAGGAAAGGACATTTTAGAGCTGCCTTAGTATGGTTATTGAAATACGGTCATTTATTGCTCGTTTAAAAACAGCCCTGTTTGTGAAATCGGCTCATGATGACGCTACATATATAGGTAATTTCAGTTTTCATTGGTTCTCAGCACATATATGTTGTAGAAGCCACTTGTGTTGCATGGTGAAATGTTCAATTTACGGTGACAATGGAAGAGAAAGGTGACGAAGGAGTGTTCGCCGGAATGGTTGAATTGGCAAATCATGCACCTGCTCAACTGCAAGGTTTACATAAGTGATAGGCAAGGGGAAGAATGGGGTGAGTTAGTAGATAGTTATCGTGGCTAAGAGCGTGAAAAACAGAGACGAATACGAGAAATGAACATGGCACAGTGCTCCCTGGCGCTGCGCCTTGTTCGCCTACAGTCTTCGTCTGTGTTTTGCGCTGTTAGCCACATCGACATAAGCGATTGTGCATAATTGGCTCTCTTTGTTCTACTTTATAGACTGGACCAAATACTCGGAAAAGTTGGCTCCAAAGCAAAAGATGTATATGAATCAAAGATTAGCCTCGCATCGAGGATCGTCAAAGTGGAACGAGCAGTGAGTACTCTGTTCTTGCTTTTTTGCATCGGAACGAAAGTTATTATTATTGGCCCTACACTTGTTGAATTCAAGCATGCACTCTTAAAAAAAATGGAGTGACGTACTCTCCATTTAGGGAGGAACGGCGATGTCCCCAATGTTCGTCTTCAAATAGAGAAACGTTGCTCCCTCATCCACGGAGAAACACGTTCCTCCTTATGAAAATCAACATGGCTGCCCCCCGGCGAAGCGAGTAGGCTTAGCAAATGCAACGATTCTCGACTGGTAAGGAGTACACGGCACTGAAAGTTACAAAAAACGGTCCCGCTGAGCTTGATATTGAACGAAATGATTATAAAAACAAGCAGACGAACCTCGGGCGGTGAACACATCGCGAAAGAGAACGATGGAGCAAGTACGTTTCGTTCGGTCAGCGAAGCCACGTTCACTCCGAAAGACACGGTTTCCGCAGAGCCCTCACCTGAAGAGTGCATGCTAGGCTTGCTGTATTTATTTCTCGCAGATTCACATAGTGTAGCAACGTTACCCATGCGCTTACGGGTCCGCAGGTCACGAGATGTGCCTCCAAACCGTACACTCGATCACAGCGAAACCATTCCGAATCCGTAGTGCAGCTTTGATAGATAGATGTTCAACGATATATAAATGGCTGGAGGTGTGAGAGCGTCATAGCAATGAAGTACTATGTGGTAGGTGGCGCCATCTGGAGGGATTGAACAAAACTAAAAAAAAAGTCGACTGCCGCGACGTTTGTTGTTATTACCCACTATCACGGCTCCCTTGCGGTTTGTTTACGCATCAGCCCATTTAAGACCACTTACGGACACCGAAAGCCTATTATGTGCTGATGCAATCCATATAGCTACACATGCACACACGGTCACATAGTACACAAATTGTACGCTAAGAAGCACGCAACAAGAACACAATCACCCATTCAAACCAACGGCTCACACCTCGATGTGTTTACTCACACTCAACTATGAAAGCGCGCCAGCTTATATAGCGATGAATTTCAACTGACCTGAGTGGCACAGGTTACAAGTAGGTTTTCTTGCACTTTTTTTTACGTTTTTTATCAATACCACAACATGCGCACACGTAAATATATTGTATCTGATGATTAGGCAAACCTTAGTTAATTTTTGGTTGCACAATAATGAACGGAAGAATTACTAGAGCTTATCAGGTTTTCACGAAGGCGGATGCCCCAAGCCGTGCTTAGAATGCTCACGGCATTTCGAACGCTGCGCCATCTGTCGACCACTGCCACTGTTACTTTTTTTTTCTTGAAGCCTCTGAGAGTGCAAACACTTGCCGCGCGTTAGCCATTTCGGAGGTCACGTTTTTTTTTCTTCTTCTTACTTGGAGAGGGCGCAGCATGCAGACCAAACTGTCTCCGTCGTGGTAGGTGTTCCGTGGACACGTCGACCTCGTTTAGTTGTTTCGTCTTAACGTTTGCTTATATTCTTTTTACGTGCGTACCACAAGTGTGACCGTTAGCCATGTACACCACTAGCCCTTCAATGACAATGTTTTTGATGCGGTAACGACCGTCCTAGCAGTGTACGTACGTTACAACGCGGGTCTTGCGATATAAATAAGCGATGACCTCGCATTCGACGGTATTTTTTCGTGAGCCATGACGGCGTCACGGCAGCTCTCATACTTGAGTGGAGGAACTATCGCTGCAGTGCGCAAGTTTACTATAACTTTATAGAATGTTGTGCCTGCATACTTTTCTGCTTCAGATGCCTCTCGCGATTCGCCTCGCGTGTCAACTTGCAATCATAGTGCGTGCCACAATTTTGTTGTTAGCGCTGTGGCTGTGGTGGTTATTACTCTGGATTCAGAATACTCTTTTCACAAAGGTGAGTGAGCGTTATTACTTACCTGCTGTGCAGAGCTGCTACTAAAAGTGCATTTCGTGTTGAGTTTCTCACGACAAAGGAGAATCATGGACGAGAAAGACATACTGCTCGCGTGCATAATTCCTTCCTACTTCTCAGTGCTGGCATGGGCAATTCAAAACGAATGTGATTGAGAATTTGGTTTCACCTACAGAAGTCATTGGTTCACTTTGCACAAAAGTTTAGTTATGATGATGTTTAAAAAGTTTCTGATGGTTGTAATCTAGTCTGGCGAATAAACGCTCGGTGGAACTTCGCAGCCTGCTTCCCTTTGTGCTTTCACCTGCCGTGGTAGCATAGCCTTATTGGGTGTCGTAAACTGGTAGGTGTTCTGTGGTGTCGTGTGACTATGCTGATGGACGCAGGTTCGACTTCCGGCCACGGCGGCCGTATTCGAATGGGGGTAAACTGCAAAGAACATCCATATGGTGGTAGTGGCACGTATAACTCTATCAATTGTATATTATCGTACTTTCACGCATGGACTGTAGAGTGGTATCAGGTTTCCTACACTATTGAAAAAATAAGTGTGATGCTTTTTTACGCGCCTCGTTCAATTCATGAGTGCTGTTGGTGCCGTGCGAAACTAAAAATGCGTGGGTTTACCAACTATGTCGACACCGAAAAAAATCATTATTTTTTTTTACACTCTAAGGTAATCGATAAAGCAAGACTGCTTGGGAAGCAGAGCTCCTTGTATTCGTGACAAATTGGTAGTATGAAACAACACAAGACACACATGGAAGTGTGCGGAGCATCGTGCGAGTGCCTGACGATAAAAAAAAAGAAAGGCTTTTACTCTACACTAATAAAACAAAAGAAAACGTCATCCCTGCATTGCTTACAACAATCTTAGGTAAAAGCAAGCGCTCGCGACTGGCCGCGGCCGGCTATAGGCTTGGCGTGCGCATGCGCGCGAGCAAGACCCCCGTGTTTGAGGAGAAACTTGAACGCTGAAGGAGGAACGTTGTTCCTTTGGTGCTTGCCGCGAGAGGGCGCGACGGGTAAAGCGCCCGAAAGGGAGGAAGTCGCTGCGCCGAAGGAGGAACGGAGCCCGTTTCTCCATTCTCGCTCCCTTTTTTTTTTAGAGTGCATTTTCTATAAATAATTGGTTGTTGATCGAATATTGTTGAATAAGTGTCTATTGAATGTTGATTAGTTATCGATTGATGATCACTAGGTCTTCACCAAATGTTGCGTCATACTAAGCACATCCTCGCAGTTTTCTAAAATTTATTCAGTAGTATTGGATTATGCACTCTTATTGACAAAGCTTGTGTTCGTGGATTGGCTGCCACTAGGCAGCGATAGTTATGTTAGCAGATGCTCGGCAGATACGTTCAGCAGGTGAGTTTTTGTGAACGATGAACGAACTAATGGCCAGTATAGGCATCTGCACTGTTAGGAATAAAAGGTAAATATTGTATTATTTCACTTTACTACTACACTTAACTCCAGCGTGAATGATGCTCTGCTGTCATATGGGCTTCATCGATTCGCGCTGTGCCAGAATCAGCCCAGCCAGCAGAGAATTTTCAGTATAGGTGGTATCAGAGAGTAACATTCGAGTATTATAGACGACATAAGTATATATTATCCCTGAATAGCACGGAAAAGCAACAACAAAATTTGTTTATTTTTTATTTCGCGCTGAAAAGTCACAATTGAACCTAGAATTCGGAGTTGCAAAGATTGAGTTCTGGTATCGAAGATTATTGGAGCTCAAAATTTTGTCATTGCTAGCTGGGTAAAATTCCGGGTAAACTGAAGAGGACATGATCGTTATTATCAATATTAGAAGTTTTAGGGGTGCTATCACCCCGGGTAAAGTCGTTTGAGCCTCGTGGCGCACATGTGCCATGGGTATGGGCCAAATACGCATGGCACATGGGTTTAACACATGGCAATTTGGGTTTAACAGCTGCCTAGCAGAAGCTGGCGCTGTGTTCGTACGGGTTATGATTAGCGATACCCTGGGGAGAGGTTATGCCAGTGGATGGAAAATGGGAGGGAGCATCTGTGCTGTTTTGCACGTGGGTGCATGGACGCCGTCTCAGGAAGGGCCGTGGGCAGCGGCCCCGCAAGTCGTCTCCCGCTGGACTCTTGTGGTGAGCCGACCATCCGTTGCGCTGCATTCGCGGTATCTTATGTCATGTGTTTGCGGATAGTATTCGGTAATATTTGATAACGTGTAACTAGAGACGTAATTGATTTGGCTGGTGATATTATCGTAGTACAAGAAAATGAATATTTGTATACGTGCTTGTACGTGCTTGGTTTACTCGACCGCGTCGGCTGTGTCCGTATTTTTCGAAAGTTTGGTTTACCTTCGAGGCTTCAGAAAGCTTCACATTGTGACGTGACACTTACTCGCAGAAACTACTGGCAGCGTACAAGCGTTACGCTGATGAGTCATTCAATGCTCTATTTATGTGTTCGCCGAATCGCGAATATGCATTCTGCTACAAAAAACATCCCGTAAGATGACGCTGGTTCGCTGAACAACTCGGAAGTTACATGGTGCCTTACACGTTCACCCAAACGACTGAAAGGCTAATGCCACTTGCTATCTTTTGTGGCCCGGGCCGTTGTCTCGTGTCTCATGCCGAGTGCTTTCATTTCATGTCGTTTGTTCGCGTCGCGCTGACACAATCATGCATAGCATTTCCATGCATGCACGAGGCCAGGAAAGTGAACTGAAGATGAGTAGGACGGGCAGGAGGAGGGGAGCGAGTAAAGCATATACTGATGGACATTATGGTGTACAAATGAGTTGCAAAAGAAAGTAAGCGTGAGCATCAGTGATGTGAGGGTGATAAAGATATAGTGTGGAAGAACGAGCATGGCTCAGTTTTGCATTGTCTTGTATAGCAAGAAGGTGGGAAAGGGAGTCGAGACGAAGAAGGATCGTTCTCATTGTGCAAGGGTTAGTCGACGCGTAGGCTGGGATTGATACAGCGTTTGTGTTCATCACTACAGGTGGAGGACATTGAGTCCAAGCTGGACCAGCTGATGGAGATGTACATGGAGGACTGGGCGCGGCTATTCGCCGCACCGGCCGTGCCTCCGCCCGGGCTCAGCATGCGTCACCAGCCGCCGCCACCACCGCCACCGTCAGCGGCGCCGTCCATAGCGCCTTCGCCGCCACCTCCACCCCAGCCACCTCCTCAGCCGCAGCAACAGCCGGTGAGCGTGGCAGTTCCGCCGAGAACTACCCTGCTGGACAAGCAGTGCAGCGAGCCCAACACGCCGGTCACCAAGACCTTCGAGCGGCCCACTGTCATGCAGCGCGGGAACTCGGACCTAGGCACTCGACTGAGGCGTCGCAACCAGCAGAGACTCCAGGCCGCCGAGGCAACCATGGAGGACCGGGGTGGACCGACGGCGGCGGCCTCTTCGTCGATGGCCAGCACATCGGAAAGCGCGGCGGCCAGCGACGACGAGCCGAGCGGAGCCGAGGAGGAAGACGTGAGCGTGGTCACCGTGTCTGTCACGGAGACGGCCGCGCTCCTCAGGCCCACTCTGCACAATTTCACTTCTGCCTGATTTCCAGGCCGGGACGTCGCGAAGCGAGGCCTCCCCACAAGCGCGTCGTCGACGGTACGTCCAAGCTGCGGCACTCCGCCGGCGACCGGAGGCCGTCGCTCGCGCCGCCCGGCAACACAGATGGTGACACGGCACCACAGACTGATCATCAAGACGATGCTGCCTTTGTGCGCATCCTAGCGCACGTTGTTGAAGCCTGTTTCACGACGCGATTTTACGGGAGGCCCGTGACAAAACGCGATGTTTCGCACGAGCACGTTCGCATTCGTTCGACCGGCGCTAAAACACTATTCTGACCAAGCCCAGGCGGTGGGCCTTTTGCACGGACGGCTTCGTCTACCTACCCACAAAACAGTTTCATTTACTAAACTACGAGCACTGTTTTCACCAACTGAGAGCGACAAAAGTTCGCGGTATATAGTATAGAATAACTCCCTTTCACGATAATGCAGTCACTGTAATTGTCAGGTCTAAAAATTCAAGGTCACCCCGTGTGCGACTGATTTGTCATGAGTAAAAATTGGTACAGATTGATAACCCGCATAGAGGTGTGTGCGGATATTCGGAAATTCTGAATACTGAATCGAGTAGCACTTTACTTGATTTGGTGCAGCCATCGAATATTGCATGGACGACGTACTGAATATTCATCGAAAAATTCTCGAATAGTCAACCTCGAACAACATGTACGTAGAGTAACAAACGTTTGTCATCTTGAAAATCCATTTTGCTTTTTAATTGCTAGATTATCATAGTGCATGCACCTCATGGTTTTGCGATATTATGGATACTATTTCGATCCCCTTATGAAGACGTTTCTCCTGTAAACCACACTTTTACTGCGATTTTAGTAGGCTGCGACTGCATCGCATTAACCAGAACATGTCTTCATTTTGTAATGACTGAAAGTGGGGACTTCGACTGATATCTGCTTCAAAAGTAAAAACAGGTGCAAATTTTATGTTTGCAAAAAGAGTGCTTGCAGATAGAGCTTTTCACATAGACGTTTAGAGGCTGACAGTTACAAAGCCTGCGCTGTGATGCCATGTCTACTTGTTTTATTTCACGTTTCGCTGTATACTGGTGTTCGGATCAAAATAGCTCACCGTTTATGTATAAGTTTTTTATAACAGCAGGTGACCAATTATAATTTCGATTTTCTGCCATTTATAATTTGGTTTTAGGACGTAAATCCCGAATATAATATCCGTGGTAATAATTTCCTGCAGTTACAAAATAATGTCCTGGATGTGGCCAATAGTGTATCTGAGCATACGTAGCTACTGCTACTGTGATATTTCGATCCAGTTACAAGAATCATTAATGTTGTTTGATAAATGTTTGTGAACATTTGTTTCTCAATAAGAGGTTTTCGAGGAGAAGGACTCTTTTGAGTTGCCTTACTATAACAGAAGTCTTCGAAAGTTAGTCGAATAATATTTGTATCCAATGCGGTGTCATTGCTATCGATTCGTATTCGATTCGGTTACCAATTTCAGTAATCGCACACCCTCCAATATTCGGTATAGTCAGCCGCAGTGCGTGCTGAAAGGCCTTTACGCCGATGGTGGTGCTTCGCATTCTGTATCAGTGTTGAGTTCAACGCTCGTGCAGATGCAACGGGCCAGTTTGTTGTTACAGGAGTGGTCAGTGGTGAACCGTAAGCCCGCGTGAGAACAAAAAAGCAACGCTCATCGTAGCTGCCACCATTACGGTGCACTACGCGAAACACTGCACAGCCAAACATTCCGATAACCTGAGTGGTTTGTGATGACGGTGCTTGTCAGCGATAAAAAGTGATGCACAGATTTTTAAGTATCGCAAAGTGTATGCGTGCTTTGGCTTACCTAACTGTTTCTAAGGGCATTGTTTTCACTTGGTCTTTGTGTCAAAAAACCTCTTCATTGATTATTAAGAGAAAATAGGATTTGCACAAAACTGAAAAATGCTCGGGTAATATATATTTTGCTTGCAATATATGCTCAACTGTTGTCTCATAAAAGGCACGTGGACAACCGCGTGGGCGTGGCGTCGTTGCGCCGCTGATTTTGCCGGTTTGATTATTTGTTTATGCACGGAACTTAATTATCCACAAGGTCTGCGTTTCATCCGGTCTGTTGTACCACTATATCTCAGCTATTTCTGGTGCCGTTTCAGTGAACACCAACCTCCAAGATTACGCAATATTATTGGAAATCTTTGCCTCAGAATCAATGGTATTGTCATCTACCACACGAAAAAGTCATCACTCATTTTCCTGTATTTTTTTTCGGGACTGATCTTTTCCGGTACTTAATGTTACTCCACTTCACTGCAGTTTAAATCGGCCTTTTGCAGTTTTTCATGATACTGATGGTCATTTTCTGAACTTCTTTTGTTGCAATTGTTGCACGTCTCGTTTAACATCGCAGCATTAGGTAGTTCCAAGACGGTTCAATGAATGGGATGCTTGATGCAGCAGCAACCCTTGTTACCGCTTCGGCACTTCGGAAAGACTACAGTAGTCGTAGGCTTTTCAACTCGCTTGATAACTTGAAGGCATGAAGACATTTGTAAGAACGAAGATCGTCCATCAGAAACATGCTTATTTTCTTTAAAAAAAGCACCGCTGCTTTGCATGTGATGTGGTGGCAGGTTGTGTCTTCCAGTTCACAGGATACTATGCCGAATGCTCTTGAGCGGACGGACTTAGGTAGTCACCTGCACGTACGTCTTTGGACTTAAGCGTTTATTTCGTTATAAAAGACGTCTGGTTTCAGCAGAGTTGTATTTTGATTAGTTGCACATATAAAGCGAAAAAAAAAAACGGACTCAAGGGCACCGTCTTGTTCGCCCCACTTGAATTGCCATAACGCATTGACAATTTCTTTCCGGATATAAGGCTATTCGTCGAAAGCGTGCTGATTCTTTTTTTTTCGCTTCTGTGTATTCGAATCCTGAGTAGCGATTTTCGCTTGCTCTAGACAATCTTAAAATTCATCGCCTTTGAAAAAGAAACTGATGTAAAGTGTTGCGAGCTCTACCATTAGCCACGATTGTAATTTGATGCCTTTATTGTCACCGACTTAAGCAACAAAAGAATTGAGATGTAAATTTCTTTTAGCTGTTAATGTTTTAGTTTTGATTACTAATTACTAAAAAATAACTTCCGTGCATTTCGTAAATGGTAGCAGAAGTCCTCTGCAATAATTTATGCAAAAAAGAGAGCATAAAAATCGTAAAGAAGGATTCTTTCTGCCAAAAATTGATATCGTCACCACAGATGTGGCGTGCCTAGAAAGGACTGCTTGCATGTTATTATTATACTCTATGTTTTTGAACCATTGTACGAAGTCGTTATGAGGCAACACACTCATAAAGTCACAAAAACTGCTTTACTGTTGGGCAATGCAGTGCTTTGGTGCTTTTGCAAGTATTTCTGATGTAAATGTCAAAAAAGAAAACAGCCTCGATGCACCTTAGGTTCCGCTTGAGCACGCTTGAGCACGCTTGAGCACGCTTGAGCACGCTTGAGCACATTTGAGCACTGTTTGGCTCAAGCACTCTTTGGCACTGAAAACAATATTTGAGCCGCGTAACCATGAGCAAGAGGAGAGCAACAAAACTGTTTGTCTTGATGAAACTGATTCAGTAGCATCCGAATAAACTTGCTTTCATAGAATCCGTAGTCGATGGGGTAAATCTTACGTATTAGTACATTTATCTGAATGAAAACATTGTTTAGAAGGACTGGAGGCATCTAAGGCCTAATTTAATGTGTCTTGTTAGATCAGCATTTATGTTTCGCGTGCAATCCCGGCAGTTTCAAATAATTATTGCTTCATTCACATTGTAGTTTTTACACTGTTCCTAAATTTAAAAGCTTCATGGCAAGTTATGCACGTGTGCAACACTATTCTCGGCATTTCTGTAGCAGAACATATTTTTTTTGAAGCACGAAACATCCAGATATATTCAAAGCATACCTGATCAAACTGGAAAACGACGACAAAAAGCTGCGAATTGAAGTTTTCATTAAATGACCATCTTGATGCCTCACCGTC